ATATAAAAAGGAAAAAGGTATAGTTTTTAAAAGTTATATGCAAGTTTTTAATAACATACAGTTTAAAAACAGACCATCTAGCTAAAACAGAAATGGGGGGGCACATGCAAATATGAAAGCTCTTGAGTAACAAAGTAACCTGATGGAGGCTTTCAGATACATATAAAATAGGGGGAAGGGTAATTCAAACAGCTAATAAAGTACCATACTTAGCAAAGAATGAATGCTGGGTCTGGGTAGGGAATTGTGCAATAAAAGATGGGCTATAAATTCCTTAGAATATAAGGAGGTAACTGTAAAAATTAAGAGTAGATGAAAACAGCAATGTCTATAAAGGTCAGCAACACTCATTACATTATGGCTCAAGCTTTAATATGGTATTTTCAAGCTCTTCCTTTGATCCCACTTCAACTGCCATACATCAGCGTGTAAGGAAATCAAAAATCCCAAACCTGAGCATCAACCTACCTGAGCTCAAATAAATGGTCTGCCCTCACTAGCACTGGCAGTAACTGTTCTAAGCTCAGCTCCCTCGTGTATAAAATGAGGATAATGACTACCTCACAGAGTTATTATTTTCTCCCTACAGTCACCCAAAATGTTGAGGATGTAGTCTGGAGGGGATTTTAATTATTTACTAATGGTATATGGTAGGCCAAGAGTTGACATGAGCAAGTTTCCATTCTCAAGTAGATTCATTGGTGGGAGGGGAAACTGTACAACAGCCAACATACAGAAATAAAATGAATGAAAAGAGAATAATAAAGAAGTAGAAATGGGGCTTCTTCTAGAAGCTCAGTAGCAGAGGTCTCAAGCACTTCCTAAAATAGAGACTTGAGCTAAAGCAAATTGGGTCAGGTTGAGTGACTAAAAGAAATTATGAAAAGGAAAAAGTAATCTTATGTCCTCCCAGCTAATGTATTCTTCCTTTTGTGGAATATTCATTAAAGCAAGTCAGAGATTATCATGAAAAAGATAATTCTGCCACAGGTGGTGGAGCAACATTTTCAACCATTTTATAGCATCTCTTTAAGTATTATTTGGACATGTTATGTTAATCGTATTAAGTTCAGGAGCTACCATTCAAAAGGAAATAAAAAGTTCAGGCCAGGCCCTGGTGGCTCATGCCTATCTATAATCCTAACTACTCAGGAGGCAGAGATCAGGAGGATCTCAGTTCAAAGCAAACAGTTCACAAGACCCTATCTTGAAAAATACCCAAGCCAAAAGAGCTGAGGGAGTGCCTCAAGTGGTAGAATGCTTGCCTAGCAAGCACAAGGTCCTGAGTTAAAACCCCAGTACCACCAAAAATAAATATAGTTCAAATTATTAATAAATCTTTGAGTAGCTTTTCCCCAAAAACATGTATCTTCTGGCCTAAAAATAACTAAAATCTACTTTGTCCCAAATTTATTCATCTTTCCCATGATCAAACAAGTGTCTTCCCCCCTCCCCCTATCTCCCTTATCCCTCCCCCTTCTATTCTTGTGATTCACCTCGTCATTAAATAGCTAAGATTTCCTTTTTTCTACCAAGTGGACATTAACTCTCCGGTATTCACTGATGTCACAGTTTTGATATCACAGAAACCACCTAAGCCTCTTAGGATCAATCTGCTACCCAGTTCCTAAAAGATAACAGTTTAAAAAGGATAACAGTGGTAATACTACACAATGCTCACCAAACTATGACTTAACGTTAGTCAATTATATTATACATAAACTGCATCCCAATAATGCATACATTCATTCATTCAGCAAATACATATTGAACATCTATTATGCACATAATCTTTCAGCATGAACTATCTGGGTCCTACCTATACTGTGCTTTACTCTGAGTTGATATTGCCCTAAAGCCATGAAACCAGGAAAAATGGTTCAGTTTTTGTTGTTGTTGTTTTGGTGGGACTGGAGTTTGAACTCAGGGCTTCTCTCTTGCACAGTAGGCACTCTACTACTTGAGCCACACCTCCAATTCATTAATCGTTCAGTTTTTGATCATGAATGTCATCTTCATGATGGCTTCCACAGAGTAAGGACCACTAGCTATCTACCATCTTGTTATATAAATGATATATATGGTCACTTAGGTACTCTATATTTTCATACAAATGCTTCCAATATTACTGAAAAAGTAAGCACCCACTGCATATGGGACATCCCACTACCAAGCCTTATATGTTCACCAAAAACTAGCACACATCAAAAGCATGACAACATTGCTATAGGAAAAGAAGGCAGCGCCACTGGGAAATAGACTTAAGTGACTTATTTTAAGGTCCACAGTGGCAAATTCAGTGGCTGAATCAAAGGCCTTAGAAACTAGGTTTCCTGGTTCCCAAGGCAGCATCCATAGTAGAAATGTCCATGGATCTTAGAAACACACTTGGGTTTGAATTTCAGTTCCTGTCTTACTGGTGAACTTGAGACAGTCACCTTTACTTTCTGACCTGTAGCTTGCTCATCAACTACCACCTCACAGAATTGCTGAGAAGCCTGAATAAGACATATACCAGCTAGCAATATTGCTATGCCAGGCAATTCACCAATATTATTTCATTTCTTGGTCTTAAATTATTTCACATTAAAAAGAAACAAAAACAGCCAGACACCAGTAGCTCATGCCTGTAAACCTAACTACTTGGAAGGCTGATATTGGGAGGATGCAGTTCCAAAAATTACAAGACTCCCATCTCAGACACTAACTGGTGGTGCATGCCTAGCATCCCAAACAATACAGGTGGTTGAGATCTGGAGGATGGAGGAAGGTTCCAAGGCCAGTCCTGGCAAAAAAGTTTTTGAGACCCTTATCTCAATGGAAAAACGCTGGGTGTGGTGGTGTAAGCCTGTCATCCGGGCGACTGGGGGAAGCATAAAAGAAGAATATCACCATTCACTCTAGCCTTGGCAAACAGGGAAACCCTACCTCCAAAATAACCTGAGCAAAAAAAGAGCAGGAGATGTGGCTCAAGCCGTACAGCACCTGCCTTGCAAGTGCTGAAGCCCTGAGTTTAAACCCCAGCATCGCATAAATAATAATAATAATAATAACAATAAAGGAAGGCGAATTAACAGTCCATGTTATTAATCGCTGGCCAACAATGAACCTATACTTGCTGCCTTGTTCATATTCCAACCAATTCCCTCTCTGCCCCACTATTTTCAAACTTTAGTTACTATGTTTAGAAAAGTGACTTAATTTTAGAAACCTGGAAAATTCTTCTGGGTAAATTGAGCAAACCCTTAATCTGTCCCAAGGGGAATTCTGAGCAAAGCAATTATTTCTAACAAGAGAAAAATTTTTCTGTGGGGGTTATTTAATTTAACCACACGAATGCCACCACAGCTGCACACAAAGTGACAGAAGGCAATAAGGAACATACTGTACAGATTCTCCGAAAGGAAATATCCTCCAAAACTCCAACCCCCTCCCTTCCCTAATCTGGGGTAGTAAAATCTTCCTAGGTGATCTGAATTCTTCGCAGCTCGGTCACTAGTCCAGCTCCTTAGGCCGGAACCACAGCAATTGGTAAAGGCAATACCCCAAACAAACCCCACCCCTCAAAATATTCCCAAAAGGCAGGGCGGTCCAGGGAGTATGCTCTATCTACAGATAAACCACCACCAGGCGCTCAGAAGCGCAATCCTTTCCCCAAGGTCATTTAAGTCAGAGAAGGTGCGACGCAGAATCTGCAGTCCCCGGCCTTCCGCAAGTCACACTGCAGAGATTTTTTTTTTTTGGGGGGGTGCCTACTTGCTTCCCCTCTCCCACCCTCAAGTGTGAGCACTGGCCTCGGTATTTCCGAAACAAGCCACAACAAGCTCTGCAGCGTTAGGAAAGGGGCTGACGCGATGAAGAAACAGATGCTCCAAAGCAAGATGGTCTTTCTCGGCTTGCAGAGCCTGCGCCAAGGTAATTAACAGAAACCGCAGGCACCTCCGAGAGGTCTGCGCGGGGCTGCGAAGCCCCAGCCCGGCCGCCCCGGGACGCCGGCTTCCCTGCATGCAGCCTCGGCAGCCAGAGGCCACCGGCCCCGAAACCGCACTTCATTCCTGCGCTCCGGGAAGCCATGGCTCCAGCCTTCCCCGCCCGGCCGCGGGGCGGGGTGCGCAGGGAGGCGGGCTGCGGCGCTGCGGAAAGTTCACCGCGGCGGCTGGCGGCGGGAGGCGGGCGGGGGGCGACCGGCTCGCCCGCGTCCCCCTGCAGATTCCACCATTAATTAGTCCTAAGGACTGTCTACAGGCAACTTAAACAAAGCGAATGCCTCGAATTCCTTCCCGGCCCCGCGGTCTGGCTGCGAGACTTAGCTGCGCCGGGGACGGGGGCCGGCGCGGCCGACAGCTGCCCGACCTCTTCCCGGCCCACCGGCCCGCACGTCCCGCGCCCGCCGCCCGCGCCGGGTCCCGCACGCCGGCCGCCACTCTCCCAAGCCTCCTCCGCCCCCCGCTCCCGGCTCCGGCTCTTCCTGTCTGATCACTTCCTTCCTCCCGGTGCCCGCGGGCCCCGCGCAGCCCCCTCCCCGGCGGCAGGCCCCCCGCCCGCGCCGCCCGCCCCGCCCCGCCCCCACAGGCCCGCGCCCGCGTCCCTTGCGCCCGGACCCGACCTCCAGAGCTGCCCCCGCCCCCCGGAACCTCCGCTCCGCGCCTCGGCCCGAGCGTTCTCCTCAGGACCTCGCTCCACCAAGAAGTCTCCTCAGGGCCGTCCCTCCCCCTCCGGAGGAAAAACCCCCTCACATTCTCTTCCTCCAACTCCGAAAACGTCCTCCAGGTCTCGCCCCAAAAGACCTCCCCTCCCAAAGTCGTCCTCCACAAACCACCCAAACTCTCCCCCGCCCCACACCGCCATCCCTCTCAGGGGCGCCCGCCGGTTCTGCCCCGCCGCCCCCGGATGCTCCAACCCCTCCGCAAACCAGGCCGGTTGCTCCCCTCCAGCCGTCCCCCTCACTTCCCCGGCTTCACCTCACCCGCGATCCCACCGCCTCCCCGCGGACGCCTCACCTCGGCTGCTCCGGCCCGCGCTCCCGCCGCCAAGAGCTCCGGCTCTCGGCTCCCAGCGGCCGGCGCCTCCTCTGGCTCCCCGGGACTGACAATGAGGGGCGGAGCCAGAGTGACGTCAGTGTTCTGGAAGGCGGGGTCTGTCGTGAGGGGCGGGGCAGATCGTCAGGCCCCGCCCCCTACGCCCTTTCTCCACCACCCCCCAAGCCCAAAGCTTGAACTCAGCCAAGTTTTTACTGCCTCCCTAACTAGGTGCCCAGGGCCTGTGCTAGGCGCCGTGGGAAATTGAAATGGAAGGCAAGACTTCCTGCATTCAAGAGGGGCACTCTCAAAGAAAAATAAAAAAGAGGAGCACTCTCTGGGAGGGGAGTGGGGGGGAGCTGTGAGGATTAAATGAGATCATCCATGGAAAGTGCTTAGCCCAGCGCCTGGTGCAAGTAACCAACAAATACTACTTCTGTTAATCAGCAACTGTGGAGAAAGAACTCCACTTGGACTCAGAAGGCATGCGTTCCGGTTCCCCAGATCTACTCTTAATTAATCCTAGAAAAGCCCTTTCCCATCTGTGTTCCCCACTTGTACGTCTTTAAAATGGGAAGAGGCAATGGCCAGATGATCTCAAAAGTCCCTCTACTGGTTCTATGACATACTTGCTGTGGGCCTTCTAGGGCCCAGAGAAGGGGAAAGAGACTGAAGGGAGCCCTAGCCCCAAACCCACACCTAGCAGAGTACAAGCCACAGCCAGAGACAGTCTCCCTGCAGATGCCCTCCCACGCGCTGGCACCCAGCAGCATCCACAAGCCGGGACACAGATGGACTAAGGGCTGCTTTCTGTCTCACTGCAGCAGCATGGTTGGTCTCTTGAGACATCTCTTGTGTAAGGTCTTTATTGCTTATGGAACAAAGGCCAAAGCCCTGGCCTGGTGCGATCACTTCCTACCTTTACACACACACACACACACACACACACACACACACACACACACACACACATGCTCTAAAGTTTATCCAAACTTCCCTCAGCACACCCACTGCTTTCTCACATCTGCCCCCTTTGCTCATTCTCTTCCTGTCTCATCTCAATCACAAGCCCTCCTGGCTTCCAACCAGAGGTCAACTCTCCCCTCTCTCGATGTCCAGTGGCACTGAGTTGATCTCTGAAGTGGGCATAAACACAATACAAGTTGTATTATAAATGGCCTCTAGCCAGGTATGGTGGCATGTCTATAATCCCAGCACTGGGAAGGTAGAACAAGAGGATCTGGAGTTCCAGGCCAGATGCAGCTACATAGTGAGCTCTAGGCCAGCCTGGCATCACATATAGCGAGACCCTGTCAGGGAAAAAAAAAGTCTCCTATTTGTTTCTTATCACTTCCTGCAGATCAGAACCCACACATTTGTAGAGCCCAAGTTCTGATGCCACAAAATTCTTGTTCTGGCTCATACTTTTCACTGAGCCTCAATTTCTCATCTGTAAAATGGGAATAATACAGTCCTTTTCATGTTTGTTTTAAAATTACATGTAATATAGTATGGAAAGCACAAGGCACAGTGTTCCACAAACACCTTGGTTGTCATTTCTATTTTCAATGTTATTACTATCCTCAGTATTGCCTGCTTCTAACACCACACAATAATTCTGTGATAATCCACCCAATCATTTCATAGTGGAAGATGTCAAGGGCCTGAGATAGGAAGTCTTGCTGAAAGTGGCCCTGTTAACCATTGCTACTGGAACAGGAACCAGCACTCCAGTCTCCAGACCCCAGGTGGACTCTGCAGTCATGTCTGAGGCCCCAAGGCATCTCTGTCACTGGGCACCCCTCCAAGTTGGGGGCAGCTGCTTGTTCTCTCTGCAAGCTCTTTGCGGCAAAGCTGACCCAATTCTGCCTCATGCCTTCCCCCTCTCATTCCTTACAGAGAGATGGATCTGTGTTGAGCCGCCCTTTGCATCTCTGCAGGACTCCAGGAGAACTGCAGCGAAGTGCTGGGCGTTTCCAGAGTGCCAGCCTGTGGGAAGTGGGGAAGGGCTTTGGGGTTCTGATTAATTTCCTGTGCTGCGGACAGGCAAATAGCTGTCCTGAAATGCCTGGGCTAGTCCTCAAGGGCCCCTAACAAAATGTGACTTATTTTTAGAATAGGCAATTCAAAAATTCTACTTCCCATGAAAAGTAAGCATGGCCACAGGATTGCTGCAGGCACAGAAAGGCCCTTTCCTGAGGCTTCTCTCTGTTGATGCTGACTCCAAGCACTGCAAAGCCTTGGAAGGGAGGACCCAGCTCATACATAGAAGGGTCTGAAGACAGAACTTTCTCTTGGGGACACATTCATTCATTTATTCATTCAACTAGAGCTTTGGCACAGGACAGATCAGGAAACAAATTCTGTGTAATTTACCAGTTATGTAACCTTGGCCTTTCAAATTTGTGCATCTCAGTTTCTCATCTGCAAAATGGAAATAATAATAACAGTGCCTGAGCCAGGTGCGGGTGGCTCACCCTATCTTGAAAAAACCCATCACAAAAAAGGTTTGGTGGAGTGGCTCAAGTGGTAGAGCACCTTGTCTAGAAAGTGTGAGGCCCTGAGTTCAAATTCCCGTACTGCAAAAAAAAAAAAGCTCACACAATGGCTTTTGAGAATTGAGAGAGATAATGTGGAAAAGCAAACTACAGAGACTAGCACCCAGTTCAGGCTCAGAAACAGGGTTACTCTTACTATTTCAACATGTCCTCCCACTAAGCCTCCTGAGCACCAGCCTGTGGCCGGAAGGAAGGCTAAATGTTAGTCCTGTCCTCAAAAACCTCCATTCATTGCCAGGTGCCAGTGGCTCACACCTATAATCCTAGCTGCTCAGGAGCAGAGATTAGGAGGATCAAGGTTGGAAGCCAGCTCTGGCAAATAGTCTTCAAAAGACCTTATCTCAAAAAATCCATCACAAAGAAAGAGCTGGTGGAGTGGCTCAAGGTGAAGGCCCTGAGTTCAAGTCACAGTACCACAAAAAAAAAATCCTCCATTCATAAAAGGACCAAGGTAACTGCATAAATAGGCAAGCAAATGTATCTACTGAACACTGGGAGGTGAAAAGAGTAAGAATAAGTCACAGAATCACAGGCATGGCTGGATCCCATGGTTTTAATATATGCTTAATGCTTAGACTATGCATAGAAAAACATGGAGGATATAAAAAGAAAACTTTTGCCCTTTTTCTTTCTTTTGCTTTGCTATCTCTATGTGTATAAGAGGAACTTTCAAAAAAGCCTTTACTAAATGCCAAAAAGGAGGAAGGGATGAAAAAATACAGTGTTAGGCATATCAGCAGGGGGCATCTGTGCCAACTGTGTATACTGCCAGACAAAGTTCCACAGGTCCCACGTCATTCTTTGTGAACTTCTAGGAAAAGCTTCTGAAGATAGAATTCTCTCCCTGGGACCCATGACCCATCAACCCCTTCTTCACCCATTCAAAGCAAAAACTTTGACACAGGACAAACCAAGATTGAAACCCCAAGCAGGGTGCCAGTGGCTTACACCTGGGGGGCTGAGATCAGGAGTACCGAGGTTTGAGGCCAGCCCAGGCAAATAGTTCAAGAGACCCATCTCCAAAATAACCAGAGCAGAATGAACTGGAGGTGTAACTCAAATGGTAGAGTGCCTGCTTTGCAAGTCTGAAGCCCTGAGTTCAAATCCCACTCTAACCAAAAAAAAAAAAAAAAAAGATTTAAATTCCAGGAGCAGAGGTTGTGGCACCGTGTTAGAGTGTGTGCTTAGCATCTGCAAGGCTCTGGATTCGGCCCCTAGCAGGCTCTTGCACACATACGCACACACATACACAGATTCAAATCAAATCCCAGCTACACAGCTTACCACTACCAGTACAAATATTAATCTCTTCTGGAAACACCTTCACAGACACATTCAAAAAGATCTGGGCACCCCACAGCCCAGCCAAACTGACCCAAAAAATTAGCTGTTACACAGTGCGACATCCCTCATTCCCCTCCCAAAGAATAGCACATGTCAGCGTCTTGTACCTACTGTGCCTAAACTTGCACTTTCATTTTTCCTTATGATATCTTTCTGCAATTTAAATTTTTTACAAGCAGCACGTAGCACTTTGTCATCAGAAAAAAAGGCAGTAAATGCATATATAAAAATGCTAACCAAAGCCTAGGGTTGGATCACTTTTGTTGGTTTGCAAACAATAAATTATAACCCAATATGCTTGAGGCCAGCAGCAAAGCCTCATAGGACTCACAACAAGTGAGAGTGGGAAAGAGTCAACTCATCTTCCATTCACCTACCATCTCCAAATGATACAATGTTACATCTTCTCCCATTTCAGGGCACCCACCACTACAGGCAATCTGTTCATCCATCCACAAATTGTGGATCCTTTGCTATGAACCAAGAACCATTCTGGATGCCTTCCATCTCCATCCCATCTAGGTGAAAGGTGTCATTATTGCTATCCTGCAGGATAGGAAAACAAGGCTCAGAGAGATACAGTAACTTACCTCAAGTCACACATCAAGTGGAATCTAAACCAAGACTTTGGGGCTGGGGCTGTAGCTCAATAGTAGAGTGCTTGCCTAGCATGTAAGAGGCCCTGGGTTCCATACTCAGCACTGCTAAAAATAAATAAATAGATAAAGTAAAATAAAAAAGGCCTTGAGTAAGTCACTGACCTCTTGCGCACAGATGTTTCCCCATCCCTTCTGGATAAGGATATACACAGTTATTTTATGCAAATTAAGTGCTTAGTAGGTTGTAACATGTAACAGAAAGGAAAGCTATTATATGAGCTCTTCAGGACTTGAATCTCACTAGTCTTTTGTCATCCCCATCAGTGCTATTTCGCTCCCCTAGCAGACCCACCACCATCTTCCTTGTATGACCCTAGTCATTTTCCCCAGGAGCCTGGGACAGCCAAAGACAGATATGAGGCTTATTTCTCCTGACTTTCTGCATGTAACGCAGCATCCAGCATACGTTCCTTCATTCCTTCACTCTTCTTTATTTCATAAAAAAGCTGAGTGCCAACATGTACCGGGCACTGCCCAGACTACACCAGAGCAAAGGTCCCT